CTGTGGAAAATTCTTCAAGAGATGGGAATACCAGACAATCTTACCTGCCTCCTGAGAAATCTGGATGCAGGTGAAGTAGCAACAGTTAGAACTGGGCATGGACCAACAGACTGGTTCCAAATAGGAAAAGGAGTATGTCAAGGCTGTATATTGTTACCCTGCTAATTTAACTTATATGCTGAGTACATCATGAGAAACGCTGGGCTGGATGAAGCATAAGCTGGAATCAAGATTGCTGGGAGATAATAGATAATAAGTTGGATATCTTATCATAATATCAATAACTGAGCTTTTCAAATAAAGCCATACATGATTGAAATAAAAAAAAATAAAAAAAAAAAGATTGCTGGGAGAAACATCAATAACCGCAGATATGCAAATCACACCACCCTTATGGCAGAGAGTGAAGAAGAACGAAAGAGCCTCTTAATGAAAGTGAAAGAGGAGAGTGAAAAAAAAGTTGGCTTAAAACTCAACATTCAAAAAACAAAGATCATGGCATCCAGTCACATCATTTCATGACAAATAGATGGGAATACAATGGAAACAGTGACAGATTTTATTTGCTTTGGCTCCAAAATCACTGCAGATGGTGATTGTAGCCATGAAATTAAAAGATGCTTGCTCCCTGGAAGAAAAGCTATGACCAACCTAGATAGCATATTAAAATCAGAGACAAACTCTCTTCCCTTTCAGTTAAGAGTTGAGAAAATCAAAATGGGCCTTGAGTCAAAAAGAAATACAGAATGAAAACACTGAACCTAGTTCAAGCATAATGACTTCAATGTGGTCTAAGTTCTATCATTCATCTACAAAATGATCCATATTGGGACCTTTAAAAAAAAAATTGTGATGCAAGATTTACTTGTGACAGAAATATGACAATGGAGAATAAGATTCCAGTCAAGCTGAATTTACATTCTGAAATATTTACCGAAGAATTAAAAGGGAAAAAAAGATGATGACTGGAGAAAGAAGGATGCTTGGCCAGCAATGAGAAAAATCCCTTTTCTCATTAGAAGTCAGCAGTAGGGGATGGCCCCAATTTCTTTCAAAACAAAGCTTGTACTTCCTTGGTCATGTCTTCTTAATCTAAAACTCGGGTCTAGAAAATGCAATACTGGCTTTCAGTCTTAAGATACTCAACTCCTCAGAAATTTCTCTCTTCTTTCTTGATTCCTGTATTTCAAGTTATGGGAACTCTATGTGATAAACGGGGTGTGTATTTATTTTACAAAAGACAATTCTGATTCAGAACACCTCCAACTGGTCTGTGTGACCCAGAAATGTTGTGCCCAATCTTTTTTTTTTTTTTTGTCTTTTTCTGTTTAATTTATTTCACTAAGCATAATACCCTTTAGGTCCGCCCATGATCTTGATGAATTTATTACACACCAAAAATTCAGTCTTCTCTTTAGAAACTGGCTCACCTGCTTGCCCTATATCATAATGTTTACAGCATATATTTTCAGGAGAGCAGATTTCTCAAATCTGAGCGAAGTAAAAATTAACATGAACAGACAATATCTTTTTCAGTGAAAAGTCTCTCAGGGAATTCTTTTGCAAATAATTCTCCTCGATGGCCAAGTATTACATCTTACCATTCATAAGGTATGGGCATGAATAAATGCCCCCGAAAAAGTAAAATAAATGAAAACACATGCAAAATTAGTCATTGCTTGTGAAAAAATGAACCAAAACATATTGCCATAGAGCTGAACGCGACTCACCTAAGGGTAAAGATTTGACTTTATCTGATTTTATCCCCTTGTTTCTGCCTAAGTGATTAAGAAATCTAATTCACTCAAAAATTACATCAAGATATTTCCTCTTTAAGTATTCTGCATAACTGTAACAAAAGACTAGGAAAATCCATTAAAACTCCACCCAGCTTTTATAAAGATTGTCACAAAAGTCATTCACACAAGAACTAACTCTTTTCTTCCCCCTCAGGAAGATTCTATATACATTTTGGAAAACATATGTAAATGTCTCTAAATGCAGAGGATAGGAATTCTTTTAAATCCTCCTAAGGTATAGCCAGGCGTAGCCTAAATTCTTTCTCCTAATATTTAAAATAACATAGGTTGATTTAGTGATGTCAATTCCTCAGAAACAAGCAACTTTCTCATCTAGAACTGCTGAAGTGAGCTACACTAGTATCCCTTTTTCCCTTTTCAACAGAGTTATTCCCGGTTTTGCCTTTCAATCTATGTTGTAGACTCATTATAAGATAGACTCATACAGTTTTCAAACAGTTCAATAATCTGTTCTGGTCTAAAAGATATGCAGGCATGCTAAGTCGCTCCAGTCGCTTCACAAAGGCATGCTAAGACCCTTTGTGACCCCTACAGACTGCAGCCCACCAGTTGTTGGATAAATAGGCAAGAATTGCTGGGGAAAACAATAGATGACAGTGTTTACTTTTCTTCTATTTATGGGTCAAATCTTGTCACTACTGTCCATGGGATTCTCAGGAGTCATGTACAGATGTGAGAGCTGGACCATAAAGAAGGCTGAGTGCCAAAGAATTTATGCTTTTGAACTGTGGTGCTGGAGAAGACTCTTGAGAGTCCCTTGGACTGCAAGGAGACCAAACCAGTTCATCCTAAAGGAAGTCAACCCTGAATATTCATTGGAAGGACTGATGCTGAAGCTGAAGCTCCAATACTTTGGCCACTTGGTGTTGACGAGACAACTCACTGGAAAAGACCATAATGCTAGGAAAGACTCACGCTAAAAGAAGGCGGTGGAACAGGTTACAGATTGCATCACCGTTTCAACAGACACGAATCTGAGCAAACTCCAGGAGATTGTGAAGGATAGGGAAGCCTGGCGTGCTGCAGTCTACGGGGTCACATAGAGTCGGACGTGACTTAGGGACTGAACAAAAACAACCTTGTCAATGTCACCCCCACCTTCTTATGTAAATAGGTCTTTTCAGAAGAGGAAAAAACCAATCAGAACCCCCAGATGTTAAGTGCCAGCATTTGCAAAATCCTATGGATGAAGAGCGCATATTATTTCTTCCTGAAAACACTCTCTGTGATGTTATAATTTGAGGACCACAGCCAAGACAAGTAAATGCATTAAAGTAGTTCTCCCCCTCTCTGAGTTAATTTATTCATGACAGAAAGCATTTCAGCCTTTCAGCAAAATGGGAAGAAGTCAACTCTCCTCCCATTCGCACCAATGAAAACATCAATGTTATCAAGATCTAAAAAAGTTGTCATTTCACATCAGAAGGAAAGAGGTGAATCAACACATAGTATTATAAGGGGTGTTCCTGCTGACTATAAAAATCTGTCATCATTAGCAGCTGCTTTGAGATGCTGCTCTGATTCAGGCGCTTGAAACCCACTTCAGACGCACATTTTCTCATTACAAGTTGCTATGTAAGATTCCGCTAAGGTACACGCTGTCGTGTTTGATATAATCGGTAACACGCTGCCTTTACAAGGCAGCAAGGCTGGGTCACACTGTGTCTGTTCTGATTGTGTCAGGCTGGTCTCATAAAAGCTCTGATTGACTTGGGAACATGAAAATGAGTGCAAACAGTGCAAAATAAACTCTCCCTGTCACTTTGGGAATTTGGAGCGAGTTTCTGGCTTTCTTAGGGAGTCGGGGAGATTTTAATGGAATTTAAGATTGCTGTACTTTTACTATTTCAATATCCTTAGGTATATTTTAGAGGTATTGAATTTTACAGAAAAATTTTAAAACTAGAAATAAGAAGGGCTTTCTGTGTAAATACTTGCCTGGGTTACCTGCCACCACTACCAGTAGGAACTGACCTTGGAAGAAAACATTATGTGGCTAAGGACCACCAACTTACATAAAGTAGAAAAATAAAGATTATTAGATTTGAAAATAACATGTTTTGTTTTGGGGGGACTATAGGTGAAACTCATTTAAATATTCCTTGGAAAAGAAGGGAAGGGTGAAATATGGTATTCTTCATCGACAAGATGCTTCCAACAGCTCAACACTCTCCTTATTTACATGTATTATATATTCCCTTTAACTTCTGTGATTTTGCAGAGTACTATTGGACCTTAGATGACTTTTATTGTATCTAAAATTATAGAGATGCTCAGGAAAGACACAAGGAAAGGTTGACTGGATAACTAACAATGAATGCAGAATAACCACAAATTTTGCCACTCAGTCCTCATGTAAGTTAACTCCAGAAGAAAACACTGCTGGTCACAGAAATTATTCAGAATTCTTCAATTTTCACTATTTTCTCTAAAAGAGGACTTAGGTATGCTCTAGCCATTGAAAAGTAGTTCACTGTTTAAAACAACATCATTTTCCACATGTTACAGCAAAATGCAGTCTTAGGATGTCGTGATACAGGAAGTGGACCCGTGAAAATGTATTCCACTGGAAAAGAATCAAGTGAATGTTAAAACCCCTCTGAAACCATCAAAGCAATTATTAAACATCAAGCTATTTTGAGAAATCGGTCTTTTTCTATCCATCTCTTAAAGAACTGAGTTCTCAAGCAGAATGCCAGTGAGTGTGCTCAGTTTGAGTTCCAGAAACTTAAAGCAAAGCAAAATAGCACCTTTCCAATTAGCCTGTTTCCAAATAAAGTAAGTGACCAACTATATGTCCACCCACAGCGTTTTAACCAGAGTCAAAGAGAGGTACTGGTTCTTCCTGTTTTTTAGAATTCTCAACTCTGTAGACAAGGAACGTCTGTACCTGCCATGAACTTTACAGTATCAGATACTAAGGTCTGTTGGTGAAATATGTATAACGTATAAATGTTTCCCTTTGGATTGAATAATCCATCAGCACGTTTTTATTCTGAACGTTTAACACAAAAAACTCCGTGTAGCCAGCACATCTGTGTGGCTACCCAGAACTGCGGAACAACAGTCCTTCTGTTGATGCCACTTCTCTGGGCCATGTCAAAAACAGGAAGGACCAGTTTCAAAGGGGCAGATAAACAAAGCTGAGAACCCTCATCTTCCAGAAGTGAAGACACTTACTTGGCCTTCAGCGTCTCCTCCTGAAAGTTCCAGTGTGGGTCTTCCACCAGCTGTAATTCCCGTAACACCCTCCCAGGCTTGTAAGCTGCATTGATGAGCATGCTAAGAACCTGTTGGGAAAAACAAGGAATGGCTGTGAACTTTCAACTGCATCCATTTCTGCTAAAATGAGAAAGCATCCCGCTGACACTTCCAGGGTGTCTGCCCTGCACCTCTATTCAGTGATAGGCTGGATGGAGTCAGAGAGGACAGTTTGCAGACTGGCACCAATGATGTCTCCATCAATGGGACAGGAAGGCAGTGAAATCCAAGGCCTCTGCCTGGGAGAGTGTGAGTCGCTGGGGGACAAGAGGGGCGGGGGTGGCCAGCTCTCGCTAACCTTCTGGACTGCAGAAAAACTGGACTGTTCTCTCCAAAGGCCCACTGATCATCCTTCAACTGGATTCCCCTTCAGTACAATCGGTTACTAAGAATTCCATCTTATTCTTAAAAATATATTTCAAGAGAATCACTAAGACGGAAACGACAGATTTGTGCCCACACTTTTAAATAAGCTTCAAAATCTGTAGAGAGGGTTAACAAATTATTTGAAGCTCACCTAATGCTGACCCAACTTATGGATATTTAACATTAGGACAATTCTCAGAGATGGGAGTGTTTTGAAAGGAAGTCTGAGTATCTGATGTCATCTGACAACTTCCTCAAACTACCCCTTCACTCCCAAGTCCCAAGTGCAAGAAAATAAGCATATGGCCAGAACCACTGCAATACGCCCAAGGACCAGACACTCCTTCTAAAGACTCAGCTTCAGGCTCTGAGACACTCGTCTTTCCAAAAGCAAACCCTCACTACCAACAAATATTTGTGAGTTCTGGCAGGCTCGTGCTGCCGCCGCTGCTGCTGCTAAGTCACTTCAGTTGTATCCGACTCTGTGCGACCCCATAGATGGCAGCCCAGCAGGCTCCCCCATCCCTGGGATTCTCCAAGCAAGAATACTGGAGTGTATTGTCATTTCCTTCTCCAGGCATGCTCGTGAGCCATCGCTATTGGGATACAGAGCGCAAAACAAAAGTCAAAGTGCAACACAGCACATAAAGGAACCCTGAGACCTCGGGGGCTTGCTCCATGAAATGCCCACTCACTGAAGACCTGCCCCGTGGGGACCCCAGAGCACAGAGACAGGACACGGAGCCACTGCTCCTGAAGTCCCGCCCCAACCAGATGAGGAATGAGCCAGGCTCTGAGTTCACGTGCTGTGTTTCGAGCAAAAACCCACTACGAGACTGAGAAAAACCTCTCACTGAGTTGGGAGGCCACTGGCCGGATTGCTGAAGCACCTGCGATTCTGTGGAGAGCAGCACACTGTCCACGAGAAGGAAAGAGAAGACAGGTGCGTGCGGGTGTGCATGCCCAGTCGTGTCTGACTCTGTGACCCTCTGGCCTGGAGCCCACCAGGCTCCTCCATCCACGGGATTCTCCTAGCAGGAATTCTGCAGTGGGTCACCATGCCTTTCTCCAGGGGATCTTCCCGACCCAGGAATTGAACCCGAGTCTCCTGCAGTTCCTGCAATGCAGGCGGATTCTTTACCGCTGAGTCACTGGAGAAGCCCCCAGATGAAAGGCATGTGGCAGAAATGTTCACATTTCATTTTTCAGGTACCTGGCGTGTTCCAGGATGTTAACTGGCATGGGCTGCACCTTGTTTTAATTCTGAAAAAGAAAGCTTTATGATCACTGAGGATTTGATCTTAAAATATTCTTTACTCTCAGCAGTTAGCCTGGAAAGTGTCTTTTTCTCATCTGGGCAGCATTTTGCTATATTCCAAGGTGCCTGTAAAGCACCACCAAGAGAACACAGTTCCGCCAAGCACTCAACAGCCAGAACACAGCAATACAAGCAGTTCTGGTATGTTTATGTTTTCTCTATTAGAATCATCATCTGGTTTTATTATTTATTGCCAGTACAATTTACAGAAACTGAGTTTAAAAATAAATCCAATTGGCCCTGGCTGAAATAACACACCAAGTGTTTATCAACAGACAATAAAATCTCACCCCAGTCTTGTCACGGTGCTTCACTAAGAAAACCCCAGAGCTACATCTTATTTGTACATCGAAATGCATTTTGTGACTGTGAAAAGCAAATGGCTTCCAGACTTCAATTCAGAGTGGAAACGGCCTGCAATTAAATGGTAAACAGCATGCGATATTAAATAATTTTCCTATGGCTTCTCCCGATGTCACATCATATGTCTCTAAATTCAACAAGCTCTCTACAAAACCTTGGAATTGTGAGTGGAATAATTTGTGTGTACCTGACGCTTTGGTACATTAGAGTTCTCTCCATGAAAATAACGAAGTTGACAGCTGCTACGACGACCCAAGTTAGACTGAATTACTGAACCTTGCAAAGCATCAGAATTCACATCATTGTGCTCTTGACCACAAAAGGCAGCACACAACTTGTCCCCAAATAACCGACAGGGTGTTTGCTGTGAAGCCAATGAATACTATTCCCAATAAACTGGCGTGAGATAGGTCTGAGTAACTCCAGAGGGAAATTGGCGCTACAGCAACATCTCCCTGGATTTCTTAGGGTTCATGAGGGGTGTATTTATTATCACAGAGAAGCAATAGCCTTTATACTGCTGAACGGGTCTGGGATGGGAGCTTTCCCTCCCTCTCAGGCATATGGGGACACAGCAAGAAGGTGGCTGCATGCAAACATGGAAGCGAGTCCTCACCCACCTGCCGGGCTGGCCCCCCATGGAGGACCTGGAGCCTCAGACCTGTGAGCATCCATGTCTGCATTCTGAGCTGCCTGGTCCAGTCCATGGTGCCCTGTGACAGCGGCCCGAGCCCACTGGACACCACCCCCTCCCACCTCACACCCCCTCCCCCTCCCCTGGACTGTCACCCTCTGTGTGTGCACTGGGCTTCAGCCTCCCGACTTAAAGGAGGAAAACTACTTTCTCTCTCCATCTCTCATCTGTGGTCCCTCACCTCACTCCTGTCTCCACTGATGGTTAAAACCCTCAAGAACCGCCTACACCCATGGACTCCTCTCTCTCCTTCAGCTTCTCAGGGACATGATGCAATGGGGCTTCCCGGAAACAGGTCTTATCAAGATTGCCTGAGATGCCAGCTTTGCCAAGAAGGAGTCCTTCTCGGCCTTGTCCTATTCCACCCCGTCAGCAGCTGGTGGCACTGCCTCCTCTGCAGACACTGTCTACCCTTACCCTCAGGACCCCAGGCTCTCATGATCCTTCTATGCCCCCCCCAACGACAGTGACCTCAGGGTGCAACCACTAGACTGTCCTCCTCTACCTATATTCACCCAACAGGGCACCTGGTTGCAAACACTGTCCACACACTAGCAAACCCGTGGCCACCAAATGTGTGTTGGACTCTCACACCCATTTCCACCTGGCTGGAAGACAGGCAAACTTGCAAGTGCCAAATCAGACAGATTTACCCAGTGCCACCGCTCCTTCTCCTTGCTGTTAAGGCCTCCATGAATTGTTATTCCAGGTCACTAGGAAACCCTCCCTGTATCCAAAACATGTTGATTTGTTTGTTTACCATCACTCTCTCTAGAACCTAATCCTCGAGAAATCAGGGGCTTCATTTTGTTCATTGCTTTATTCACCATAGCTAGAACCATGCCTGGCAACAGTAGGTGCTCAATAAACAATTTGGGGAATTTCTTCAATAAATTTCAAGATGGGCACTGAAATTAAATTATTCTATACACCTACAAATTAATGAATGATTGATTCACACCAAAAACTTATTTGGTACCATAAAATCTATGTCATTGGAGGGAAGCTCAGGAGATAGCACTTACCACTGATTTCCTTTCCTACAAAATCCTACCCTATGGTGCAATGAGAAAATTCAACAAAGGTATCTTATCTTCTTTATAATAAACCTTAACAACAAAAAAATTACATTTTTCCTAAACTTCCTGGACACTGTCTACTTAATTCCTGTGTCACACATTACATATGTACTACAGTTTCCACCACCCACATGCTTGGTACACAGTTCTCAATGGTCAATGTTCAGCATAAAATCCAGAGAATATCATCCAGAGGCGTGTCTGCATCTCTGACTTTGTTGACTGACTTAACCGGGTGCCACGTAGGCAAGACTTTTTCTCTTTCCAGTATAACCTGAAATGCCTAAGTCCTTGCTCTGAGGCCGTGGGCAGGGGGGAATCAACTCACCCGGGGGGCACAGTTCCTGCTCACCTTGACCTCCCTCCCAGCTTCCAGCACAGTGCCCACCAGCACGTGCTTATGACTGCTGAATTGCTTTGGACTTGTCTAAATGGACAGATGGATGGAAGTATGATGTTTCATTCTCTTCTTGGTTCCCACGGCTAGGAGACTATCTGACATGACAGTAGCTGCTAAGTGTGCAATAACTGATCGAAAAAGCCTCGGAAGGTGTAGATGGGCAAAAAGAAACATACATGGACCATTCAGTCCTCACACCGACTTCTGCACTTCCTGAAGCTAGAGAGCTACTAAGCCCACAGAAGCAGACTGAGGGAGATGTCTCTGGTCCACTGCCCTCTCAGAGCTCAAGACCACCACACCTCCCACACAAATGCCAGCGTGGTGTCCACATGCACAGACCTCATCTACCTCTAGAAGAAGCAGGGGGAAAACAGCCATCAGCCTACATTTTCCAAAGTCAGAGAAACCTTTAACTACGAACACCCCCGATGGCCCGATAAAGCAAAGATGCTCTGTCTTTGCTCCAATGACCTCATTCTCCGTAAGTAAAACGCAACCTGAAATCAAACACAGGTCCAGGGCAGGACTATTAGCATAAAGACTGGCTTGGCAGACTCACATTTTTCTTGCACTCATAGAACTAAAGCGCTTACTTCTTTTTTTCCTCTCTTTCCTGCCTCGTGCATTTTCTGAACATCAGCAAAAAAACTAGTTCTGTCATCAAAAAACTGCTTTGGCCTGGCTTTTAAACTTGGCTGCTGGCACCTATCAGAGAATCAGTCAGGGCTAACTACTGTTGACCAACTATGTAGCAAAGTAAACCAGTCAAGCCTCAGAGAGAGACTGGCCCTGTGGTCACCATGTTTGTTAACAGGGCCCCCAGGTGGCCACAGGCCTCACAATCACGAGGGTGTGACACGGTCTCACGGGGACTTTAAACAAGTACCAGGTTTGTGTCAGTCCCCTGTTCCGTTCTGATCGTTGGCAACAAAGTCAGCACAAATACAGGCAGGGGACAAGGCTGTGGCAAGGCCGACCTCACGGGCTGAAACTGTTGGGGGACTTGGGAGCCCGTTCCTGGTCTAGGGGCCTTATTTTTACACGGTGACAGGAATTTCCGTGTGTAAGCCGGGCTTGTTTCTTCTCTGACCAAGTCTAACATCTGCAGGGTCTACAGTCTGCGTCAACTTACACAGTTTGCAGCTCACCTCCCACCCTGATCTCCCTGAGGCCCTTGAGAGGGGCTGCCCGCCCCCAACACCATCTCCCTTTAGCTATCAATTTCTCTTCAATAGGGTCCACTTGCCACTTAGGCTGGGTCATGCCTCCAATGATTTGGGGATGTAAAATATGAAGGTGATGGGTCTAAAGAAAAGCAGGCCTAAATAAGAATACAGGCCAAGCACCAGGGATGGGGTGCAGGCCCCAGGACTCTCTGGACTCAGATTTCTGCACTTTCCAGGCCTGGCCCTGTGGTCCGCACATTCAAGGTGCTTCCAGAGTTCCTTCCCGTGATCCTGCCGATGCTCCAGGGCGCTCAGATGCTTTTCTAGTCCCTAGAGCAGGCGGCCCCCTTCCCCGACCCCACAGGCCCTGTTCTTGATACAAAGCACAGCTCATGTAAGTTTGTTCAGTGGGTAAACAGATGGATAAACAGACCCCTTGAGCCCAAGGAACAACAACACACTCATCATGGTGCACGTGATGTTCTGGGCATGCTTTCTTGTCACAAAAACAGGAACGTGACTATACGAAGGTTCAAGATAGGTCACCTTTTTAAACAAAAGAGTGATGATTCACCAAAGATTTTACTCAAATGTAGTGAGCGTTTCCGCTGACTTGGGAAGGGAAGGGAGGGGCCCACCCCCGCCCCCCCCGCCACCAACAGAAGGGAGTTTTCCTGGGCTGGAACACTGCTCCCCTGTGTATGACCATCTTCAGACTGCAGGATGGAGAGGAAGGGGGTGCTTGGCACGTGAATGGACTCAAATCCCTGTGACTCCCTCAGGGACTGTGCCCACCCTCACCGCCCCACCGCCGCCTGAGGCTGTACGCGAGCTTTACCTCCTTCAGGACCAGCACGCACTTGCCTGGCCCCACCGACTGCGGCAGCTCAGCGATCCTGCCCTTATTGAGGTAGGGGCCCGAGAAGCACCGGTGGTTGATGAAAAGCTGAGGACAGCAGTACTTCCCGTTCACCGTTCCTGCGCGGAAGAGAAACATGGTCGAGGCTCCAGGACTCACGGCTTAACCCGCTGCACCAGCAAAGCTGCCCAGAGGGGCCTTGAGTCTCCCTATCAAATGCTTCATGTCCACCGCGCTCTGTGAGTTCCAGGGGTACAGCACAATGACTCAGTTATCCATATTTATTTAGCTGATGTTGTTGACCAGTCACTAACGTGTCCGACTCTGCGACTCCATGGACTGTGGCCTGCCAGACTCCTCTGTCCATGAGATTTTCCAAGCAAGAATAGTGGAGTATGTGGCCATTTTCTTCTCCAGGGGATTTTCCCAACCCAGGGATCAAACCTGCATCTCCTGCATTGGCAGGTAGATTCTTTACCACTGAGCCACCGTGGAAATCATATATATATGTATATGTATACATATACATATGTTCTTTTTCAGAGTCTTTTCCTTAAAAGTTATTACAAAAACCGAATACAGCTTCTCATGCTCCACAGGGTTTGTCAGTTATGTACTTTATATATTACAGTGTGTATATGTTCACCATTGCCCTACACCCAGGCCAACACCTGATATGGCAGGGCTTCCTCACTTTGCCAGCCTCAGGGACAAGAAATGTGCCTCCCAGGGACTTAAATATGCATTTCCCTCATTGGTCTTCCAGCTTGGAAAGTGAACAAGCAAGGTGTTGATTTAGTTGTGTCTCAAGGTGCCATGGGGAAAAGCAAAACAACTAAATGGTAAGGTATCAGTGGAACCCACTGGACACCTACACATGGGATGTGGTCAGAGGACCAGCGGAGACCCACCCTCTCCCACGGCTGCTCCAAGCCAGGCTGCACTAACAGTGGTCTCTCTGTGTAAAAACTTGTTATCGAGAGAGTAACACTGACATATATATATAAAGGAGGCTGAGCGCCAAGAACTGATCCTTTCGAAAGGCGGTGCTAGAGAAGACTCTTGAGAGTCCCACGGACTGCAAGGAGATTAAACCAGTCCATCCTAAAGGAAATAAACCCTGAATATTCATTGCAAGGACTGATGCTGAAGCTGAAGCTCCAATACTTTGGCCACCTGATGCAAAGAGTTGACTCACTGGAAAAGACTCTGATGCTGGGAAAGATTGACGGCAAAAGGAGAAGAGGGTGGCAGAGGATGAGATGGTTAGACAGCACCACTGACTTAGCGAACATGACTTTGTGCAAACTCTGGGAGATAGTGAAGGACAGGCGAGCCCGATGTGCTGCAGTCCATGGGGTTGCAAAAAGCTGGACATGACTTAGCGACTGAAGAACAAATGAACATATACACACTCACATGTGTAAAACAGAGAGTGAGCAAAAGCTCTGTGCCACTTGGGGAGCTCTGCCCCGTGCTCTGGGATGACCTAGAGAGCTGGGGCTGGGGGAAGGAGTAGGAGGGAGGCAGGGGATGTGTGTACACATATAGCGGATTCATTTCATTGTGCAGCAGAAACTAACAACACTGTAGAGCAATTATGCCCTAATTAAAAAATAAATCTTAAAAACCCTGTTATTCATTTGGGATGGTCATTTGATAGACCAGGAAGCTTTGTTCTCATAGGACTTTAACTGAGAACCAACAGGTAAGCGGGGAGATATGTTATTTTTCCAAGTATAAGACAGAAGGAGTAAAATAACAATTACCGACTCTGAAAGATGACATGGTTCTTTTAAAATCATTCTGAAGTTTTAATTTTATAAAACAGGCAAAAAAAAAAAGTCCACAGCTGCATTTACATGGAAATTCGAGGGTAGGATTACTCTGCTCAGCTCTTTAGAAAAAACAATCTTTAGTAAGTCTACTCATAAAACTGCTCTCTTTACTGCAAAGAAAACTTTGAATAATAGGATTCTTCCATGGTACACAAGTTTTAATCTTGGGTTCAGAGCAGACTTCCTTTTGGCTGGAAAATAGAATACTTAATCAAATATATTACTTAATGTACAAACATGTCTATAATCAAATGTATAATCCAAAGGTAATTCTTATTTATGTTTTTAAAAGTTACTGTTAAGACATAGGACATTATACATTAAAAAATATATATATATTATTACCAACCAGCCCCTCAAACAAGGTTTTAGGGAACAATCCAAAAGTCCATGGGGACTTAAGGATTAACCACTAGTGTAAAAATGCAACGGCAACTGGCATAAATGGCATAAAATGTCCAAAAAGAAATGCCTAATAATATTTCCAACTCTTTTCCAACAGGATTATTCCTGATACACAGTTCTAACTGGACATGTCCAAGTGATGCATAGAACCAGCTTCTTATGCCAAGGGAAGTGTCTCTAGCTACTGACCAAGAAACAAAAAAGGAAAGACACCAAGAATAAAGCTTAGAAAAAGTTTTTAAAGGAGTAGGTATCTGTAAAAAAAGATAGTCAGATCAAAGTTGAGTATTTTCATACTGACCTAAAAATGTATCAGAGTTAAGTATTGTCATATTGACCTAAAAATATGCCCATGTCTGCACTCACAGCAAGACACGGAGAAGAGTCAGGGTGTCCTAACCAGCTGACCTACCTGTGGCGTCCAGGTGCGGGAACAGACAAAGGTCGTGAGGTATTTTCTCAACAGGCACCGTGGATGCTGATCTGTGGATAAAGCAGACACTCCCGTGGGTCCCAAGCTACAGAAGAAACCAGTACCTTCCAAAGTCTTTTCATAACTTACAGGAATCTAAGCTATGAATATGTAACACACAATATGTGCATGGATAAGAACAGGTAAGATCATTGGGAGGCAATTCTTACAATAATTTCAAGAAGCCTGTGGGTCATCTGCCCCTCGAGGGGGTCACCACTGATCTCTGAGGCTCCTCTAGGTCACTTCCTGGGCATGTCGCTTGTTAAAGCATCACAGAAATGTTCTCAATCATATTTAGGACATGCAGAAATGTCAGCTTGCACTGACTTTCATTAAAGTCAGACTTCCCCTTATTAATGACTTTCTGCTGACTTCTGATTTCTGGGGTCCGTGTGTGTATGGGTTGAGGCCACACTGAAAAGTAGATCCTTAAAGAAAAATCTCAGAACTGATGATTCTTAAAATGTGAAGTAGGCTTGTTAGTCTAGGACAGAAGTCTGTGCTGCTGTTCAGTAAAAAGTTGCTGAACAAATATAAAAACTATCGCTCCAGGGGAAAAAGGCAAATTGGATTTCCAGGAGATGTACAGGTTGACTTTATAGAAACTGCACAGGTGCAGAGTTACGTAAACTCCAAGTAAATAGTAATGAGGGCTCTTAGTGGGCTCATCTATGGTGCCAGCTCTCAAAGCAGGGTCTCCAAGCTGTCAGGTCAGCATCACCTGGGAGCCCGTTACACGTGGAAAAGCTCAGGCCCCATCACAGACATCCTGAATGAGAAATTCTACAGATGGGGCCTGGTGATCTGTGTTTTAATGAGCTGCCTAGTGACAGATCCAAGTACAGGTGAAAACTGCTGATCCACAGGCTGCAAATTTAGGAGTCATGAATTCAAACTGAGATTCAATGAGGGGGACTGTTATTTTAGCTTTTACCTATTTCAATGTTATCCAGATAAAACTGGAGTCAAATGAGTAGCCTGATACACTGTTAGAAACATACCCAGAATACCTGCTAAACTGTTATTTACATCAAATAACAATGAAGCTATTATTCGATTTTAAGTTTCAACTTCAGTACATGAAAAAAAAAAAGCTGCTTTCAACTCCTTTTCCATCAGTCTATTAAGAAAACAGATTCACTCAGAAAGGGATATTTACCGTGGTGTATTCCAGACATTTTTAAACATATAAACATGGTACTAACAGTGACAATTTTCCAAAAATATACAGCCAGTAGGTCCACACACTATAGAACATCCTCCTTCCTCATAAACTTACAATTGAAACGTGGAGTGACCTACATTTATTTGGCAATGGAGGGACATACATCTTCATGTGGACTCTAATTTAATCTTTCTAAAACTCTGCGAGAAATAGGTATTTTACAAAGGCGAGCATTGAGGTGTGGCGTAATAAAACAACCTGCTCCAGCTCACCAAGCTGCAAGGGGGCAGAGCTGAGGCCTGGACAGGCAGCTCTGGGGGGCCCCACGGCATTAAGCACTCTTGAGAACTGTCTCAGAGCACCCTGACCAGAATGCGGGACCATGGGCATCCGACAGGTCAGCTACGCTGGGATGGAAGTGAGAGGTTACAGTCCGGAAAAGAAATTCCTCAAGAAGCAGGCCCTGCGTGTCCTGCACGTAACAGATGCTCCGTACATGTCTTCCTGTCGCCTCAACTCCTGTGCTAGGTCGTGACCAGCTCTCTAACAAAAACAGCCCTATTTCCATCCTCTTGAAAGACACTTCATAGCTTATCATGGAGTTTCTGTGGAAAAACACTTACTGTTTTTCTGGCTGCACAACTGCAATCTTTCTCTTCTTTTGTGCTGAAAAACAGGCAAAAGGGGGAAAAAAGAAAAGCAGCTTTTTCAGCGAGTTGGGAATAAGTGGTTTTTTTTTTTTTTAATGACTCCATAGGTATAGAACTGTGTCTGTTTTTAAAGTAACAATTTTAAAACTGAAAAATTACTTCATTCCAGCCACAATTTTATCTTCATCTCTTCCAGCACAAAACAGACTTCAACTTTTCAGAAATGAAATCTAAAGAGAATTTAGTGCATTTTACCTTATCACTACATGGGCTACTTTATTCTAAAATGTGCTTCTAATAAAAAGAATGCACATATCAGACCTCTCAGGAACACAGCTAGTGAAATGGACTAGTACAAGCATGATTATCCAGATGACTTATTCCCACAGAAGTGTGGTAAGGTAAATAATTTTACCATAAAAGCATGCTCCCGAATTAGGATTAGAGGCATTTTATAAATTAAAACATTTTATCATTAAAAAGTGGATTGGCACCTAGCAAATATATACATCTGTCAAATAGTGACAGAAACCATCCAACAATAACCTGAGGTTAAGAACATTTCCAGTTTACATTTATAACTGGTTGGAATCACCTTTACAAAGACAGACCAGAGCTTTTGGCATCTATTAACTCAGGCACAGATAATCCTGCATCTTCCAACATTAGGAAAAATTAATTCTCCCAGAGTTTCTAAAGCTGTCAGAGTTTGGCAGGTTTAATTAGACTTTGCCTCTTCAAAGCAAAATGCGTGTATGAGAAACAAAAGGAGAACACAAATAAATAAGAGAAATAGTGACTCAAAATTTGATCTATTCTTCATTTTATTTAGTATCCAATTCCAATTTAGGCAGATCCGAAGAGATGTTGTGGGTTTGGTTCCAGACCACCCCAACAGAGTGACTATCACAATTAAGGAGTGATGGGAATTTTTTGGTTTCCCGGTGCATATAAAAGTTATGTTTTATAAGTCTACTATAAATCTGTAGTCTATCAAGTGTATCATAATAATATTCTGTCTAAAAAAACAATGTATATATATTAATCAAAAGTACTTATTAAAAAATGCTATCATCTGAGCTTCACTGAGTCATAGCGATGACATCAAAAGGTCACTGATCACAGATAACCACAACAAATACAATAATGATGAAAAAGAAATACTGCAAGAATTACCAAAATGTGACACAAAGACACGAAGTGAAACAATATTGTCGGAAAAGTGGTATCACAGGCATGCTTGATGCAGGGTTGCCTGAAACTTTCAATATGTAAAAAATGCAGTACGTGTGACAACGAAGTCTGCCTGCAATTACTATGAGAAAGTATAAACTCTGTGATCTCTCAAGGGAAAGATGAGTGTGTAGACTAAGTTGCCTAAGTCAGTCTTTGTTAATTGGGGTGAGATGCCCAAACTGTGAGATGTCTTGATGAGAAGCCAAACACAGCAGGCTGGGGAACAGAGAGGAAACACCGTTGTGTTCACCTTAACCTGCGTGGGGTTTCACCCAGAAAAACTCGAAATGCTCCTCCCCTCCCAAAGCCAGAGAAGGAGGGAGGGAGAGGGTCAGGACACGAATTTCTGTCTCAGGCACAAGCAGGCACAGAGGGTTGGATCTAAACCTGCCCAGGGCGGTGGGGGCTGAGAGCCAAGGACCAAGACATTTCAAGGGAGAATAAAAGACAAAGAAGGCCCTCAACACTGAAATCATTATTCTAAGCGCGTAATTTTAGAAATATTTTAAATTGAGGGCAAGGCATTACTGTCATTGGATGAGATTCAGTATGCAGTACCGGGTACAGGGCAGAACCTCTTAGAATCCACCTCTGTCTATAGCCTGGGCCCCTACTTTATTCACATGAATAACCCCTTCTGACTTTTAGTGAGTACTGGTAAGTCTCTTGGTTCCTTCAAAATTTCTCGACCTCAGGAAACAGGAGGCCAGCAATGTTCTGAGCATCTATGTAAATGAACCTTATGGGAGGATGCTAGAAAAAATCAGCCAGCATACAAATTAATAAAGAAAACACTAGAAATATCTGACCTATTTCACAAAAAAATTAAAAGCCTTACCTTTAAGGACATACAATTTTGAATAATACTGTTGACACTTTAGGGTGGAATTATAAACGCTAAGATTTATTATTGAATGAATTATTATATACTATAAATGAATATTTTTGAAGTGGCTATCATTTTAAGACAATGACCTACAACAATTTTCCTTAAAACACACACTTGTATATATTTAAGTGGTGTGTTTGTGTGTGCATGTGTGTGTGTGTGGGAAGCTGGGCTATTTTGACTACTAATATTGGTTTGATTTGGCACTTCGGTGATCAGAAGGATGTAATGTAATGCCCCTTTCAAAGTCCAATTGAAACCTCACTGGTAATTTAATGCCAAGAATCAGTTCAGGTCAGTCTCTCAGTCGTGTCCAACTCTTTGTGAACTCATGAACTGCAGCACGCCAGGCTTCCTTGTCCATCACCAACTCCCAGAGCTTGCTCAAACTCATGTCCATCGAGTTGGTGATGCCATCCGACCACCTCAACCTCTGTCATCCCCTTTACCTCCCTCCTTCAATCTTTCCCAGCATCAGGGTCTTTTCTAGTGAGTCAGTTCTTCACATCAGGTGGCCAAAATATTGGCGTTTCAGCTTCAGCATCAGGCCCTCCAATGAATATTCAGGATTGATTTCCTTTAGGATTAACTAGTTTGATCTCCTTGCAGTCCAAGAGAATCTCAAGTCTTCAACTCCACAGTTCAAAAGCATCAATTCTTTGACACTGAGCTTTCTTTATAGTCCAGGTCTCATATCCATACATGACTACTAAAAAAATTATAGCTTTGACTAGACAGACCTTTGTTGGCAAAGTAACATCTCTGCTTTTTAACAAGCTGTCTAGGTTGATCATAGCTTTTCTTCCAAGGAGCAAATGTACTTTAATTTCATGGCTGCAATCACCATCTGCAGTGATTTTGGAGCCCAAGAAAATCAAGTCTGTCACTGTTTCCATTGTTTCCCCATCTATTTGCCATGAAGTGATGGGACCAGATGCCATGATCTTTGTTTTCTGAATGTTGAGTTTTAAGCCAGCTTTTTCACTCTCCTCTTTCACTTTCATCAAGAGGATCTTAAATTCTTCATCACTTTCTGCCATTAGGGTGGTGTCCTCTGCATATCTGAGATTATTGATATTTCTCCCAGCAATCTTGATTTCAGCTTGTGCTTCCATCCAGCCTGGCATTTCACACGATATACTCTGCATATAAGTTAAATAAGCAGGGTGACAATATACAGCCTTGATGTACTCCTTTCCCTATCTGGAACCAGTCTTTTGTTCCATGTCCATTTCTAACAGTTGCTTCTTGATGTTCATACAGATTTCTCAGGAGGCAGGTAAGGTGGTCTGGTATTTCCACCTCTTGAAGAATTTTTCACAGTTTGTTGTGATCCACACACTCAAGCACTTTGACATAATCAATAAAGCAGATGTTTTTCTGGAACTCTCTTGCTTTTTCAATGATCCAACAGATTTTGGTAATTTGATCTCTGCTTCCTCAGCCTTTTCGAAATCCAGCTTGAACATCTGGAAGTTCATGGTTCATGTACCGTTGAAGCCTGGCTTGGAGAACAGTAAGCATTACTTTGCTAGCATGTGAGATGAATCCAATTGTGCGGTAGTTTGAACATTCTTTGACATTGCCCTTCTTTGGGATTGGAACGAAAACTGACCTTTTCCAGTCCTGTGGCCACTGCTGAGTTTTCCATATTTGCTGGCATGTTGAGTGCAGCACTTTCACAGCATCATCCTTTAGGATTTGAAATTTCTCAACTGGAGCCCCATCATCTCCACCATTTTTGTTCATAGTGATGCTTCCCAAGGCCCACTTGACTTTGCATTCCAGGATGTCTGGCTCTAGGTGAGTGATCATACCATCATGATTATCTGGGTCATGAAGATCTTTTTTGTATAGTTCTTCTGTGTATTCTTGCCACCTCTTCTTAATATCTTCTGCTTCTGTTAGGTCCATACCATTTCTGTCCTTTATCAAACCCATCTTTGCATGAAATGTTCCCTTCGTATGTCTAATTTTCTTAAAGAGATCTCTAGTCTTTCCCATTCTATTGTTTTCCTCTATTTCTTTGCTTTGAGCACTGAGGAAGGCTTTCTTATCTCTCCTTGCTATTCTCTGGAACTCTGCATTCAAATGGGCATATCTTTCCTTTTCTCTTTTACCTTTAGCTTCTCTTCTTTCCTCAGCTATTTGTAAGACCTCCTCAGACAAGCATTTTGCCTTTTTGCATTTCTTTTTCTTGGGGATGGTCTTGATCACTGCCTCCTGTATAATGTCACAAACGTCCATCCATAGTTCTTCAGGCACTCTGTCTATCAGATCTAATCCCTTGAATCTATTTCTCCCTTCCACTGTATAACTGTAAGGGATTTGATTTAGGTCATACCTGAATGGTCTAGTGGTTTTCCCTACTTTCCTCAATTTAAGTCTGAATTTGGCAATGAGGAGTTCATGATCTGAGCCACAGTCAGCTCTGGTCTTGTTTTTGTTGATGGTTTCAAGCTTCTCCATCTTTGGCTGCAAATATGAGCAATCTGATTTCAATATTGACATCATCTGATTTCGGTGATGTCCATGTGTAGAGTCTTCTCTTGTGTTGTTGGAAGAGGGTGTTTGCTATGACCAGTGCATTCTCTTGGCCAAACTCTGTTAGCCTTTGACCTGCTTTATTCTGTACTCCAAGGTCAGATTTGCCTGTTACTTCAGGTATCTCTTGACTTTCTACTTTTGCACTCCAGTCCCCTATGATGAAAAGGACATCATTTTTTGGTTGTTAGTTCCAGAAGGTCTTGTAGGTGTTCGTACAACCATTCAACTTCAGCTTCTTCATCATAACTGGCTGGGGCACAGACTTGGATTACTACAGTACTGAATGGTTTGCCTTGGAAACAAACAGAGATCATTCTGGCATTTATCAGCTTGCACCCAAGTACTGCATATCGGACTCTTCTGTTGACTCTGTGGGTTACTCCAGTTCTTCTAAGGGATTCTTGCCCCCAGTAGTAGATATAATGGTCATCTGAATTAAATTCGACCATTCCAGTCCATTTTAGTTCACTGATTCATAAAGTGTCGATGTTCACTCTTGCCATCTGCTGTTTGACCACTGCTAATTTATCTTGATTCATGGACCTAACATTCTAGGTTCCTATGCAATACTGTTCCTTACAGCATCCAACTTTACTTTCATCACCAGTCACATCCACAACTGGGCATTGTTTTCACTTTGGCCTCATCCTTCATTGCCAGGAATAGTTAAGTGTTTACACCTATGTCAGTAAATTATTGGAACCAATTACGATTGGTTTTGGGGTAAACCTTTGGGGTAAACCTTAGGAAAATAAGATCTTTCTCAGATATAATCATACAAATATATAGTATTTAGCTTAAACTTGCTCATGAATTGCATGCAAACAGGGAGTAAAGATCCCAGACACTCATCTCCGCCTTGTCACTGTGACTTGGTTTCTCAAGCTGGGAAATGCCTGCAGACATTCATCTCATGCAGACGCTTACAGGATGAATAAGACAAAAGTCCTGGTGTTCTGTGCAAAACAGAACATTTTTTGATTTTTACAGTTTGGCTCCACTCTCTTTACCAAACTGCCTATTTATTCACCTAAGTCCCAGATATGCCCAGCTAGGCTCAGAGTGGGGCGATACTCACAGGCTGTCTTGTGTGGTGTAGTCAGAGGGTAGGAGTTGGCCTCACACCAACCCACAGGGAAGATGTCCATAGATTCAACGTCCACGATGAACTCTGGAGCCGGGCTCTGCAGGCCTGCGGGGAGTCGAGACAACAGGTGAAAACAGGTGTTAACAACAAAGACACGGAAGAAGGAGGGGAAATCAGAACAGCTCTGAGCGGGGGCGTAGGGAGACACTGTTCTGAAAGTTGAACCCAAAGCCAGTGGTATTTTACGACAGATACAAATGCCAGAGAGGTACAGTAGCAGAAGTTCACAGGGTTCACAAGAAGGGGGACTTGGAAAAGAGATACTTTCCCCTGAAAACGAGAGGAAGAGGAAGGATAATTGGGGACAACTGCATCCTTGTCTCCACTGAAGGACAAGCATCCCTCTTTCCTAAGAATGGCTTTGAAGCTAAGGAAAGGAGTCCAGCCTGTGGGGTGGGGGCACCAAGACATTCTTCACCCAACACCAAACAGAGGTCAACCTTCAACCAACAGAAGTTAAATGTTCCAGTTAAAAGGAACTGGGAGGGTTCAGTGACACTGGTTATAAGCAGTAAGGATCAAAGCACAATTTCCTAGGGGACATGCTCTTTATCCTGTGACCACGTACTTCTTCTGAACTCAGTTTGCGGGCTGCAGACTCTTGCCATGACACCAAAGTCACTTAGGCAGGAGTGTCTCTTTGGTGGGGATCTGCCCTCGTATCGTAATAAAAATGATGCCTTTTGTTAAGTCTGCATAGCATCTGAGAGACTCTGAGAGAAAAAAATCTGGATACAGTATGAGCAGGGATTCCCAGGAACTCTGGCTGCCGAGAGAATAAATTTAGAACCTTGCAAACTAGTGAAGAAAAGGAAATTCTACACCAAATCAACAGTTCTTTAAAAACACACTTTGAGGATCGACACTCTTGAACCAAGAATCAAAAGGTAAGAAAGAGCTCTATTAATGGAGTGACTCCCTGGCCCTGACCACTTAATCTTGCTTTGCTTTTGGTTTCTTCACTTGGAATCAAAACAAAAGTTAACACTCTTAGAAACTCCATCATACATCCAAGCAATCACACATCATCTGATGAATTCTGAATTGCACTTCCCCTTCTGGAAGCTCAGTACCAGCAAACATAAAATCTTCTCACTATTTCGGCTACACTGGCTCCCAGAGTATGTTATTTGATAAACCCAGGTACCAGATTTAGCCCTAAAACCTAACTTTGGTGTACACAAAATGCCTGGAATACTGACAGCAGACACTCATACACGTGTTATCACCTCCAGTCACCACACTGAACTTCTGATGTGTTCTCAGAGAAAGTCATTACTACGGTTATCAATCCTAACTTCCTTTTCACTGAATTCTCCGATAATGTGAAAGATATATAACCTACAAGAATGCAAGCAGGTTTACAGGGCTTAGGTTCCAACACAGCTGAATGAATAGAAAGCATTTCTGCCCTGCATTAAATGACTCAACCAACATTTAGCTAATCTGCTAAAGAAATCATCCAATAAATAAAACTGCCACAACAGACAAAAGCTAAAGAAACTCCCCAAGCAGCTTCAAATACAAAACTGATCTTTTCTTGTTGCGAAGGGCATTGGATTCGGCAGACGGGCCAATGAAGAGTCACCGAGCTGTTTCCCATCATACCAGGCACTGCCTCACCTTCAGGCTCACAAAAATACAGACAGAGCCTATTTCTTAGCTACTCAGCGATTCTGCTAACAGGCTGAATTCATCTACTACGTACAAATTATTTCTAGATTCGTGTTTAGGTGCAAATCAGATTTTCAAGGTCAAAGTCGTACTTCAGGAGGGAGTATAAAGTGAACTTCATAGATTACTTCTTCCCAAATGCTCTGCTAGTTCAGACATCACATCATATTAGAGTGCTTCAACATACACACTTGTGTAACGATATAAACAGTCATATATTTTTTTCCTAAGAACCATTTTGCTTTTTAGTTTTTTAATTTATCTTATTTTTGGCTCTGCTAAGTCTTCACTGCCACACACGGGCTTTCTCTCGTCATGGCGAGGGGCGCCTACTCTCCAGTCCCGGTTCCTGGGCTTCCGTAGTTGCGGGGCACACACTTAACTGCCCGACAAAAGGCACGTGGGGTCTTCCGGGATCAGAGACCAACCCACATCCCCTGCAATGGAGGGTGGATGCTTAACCACTGGCCCACCGCTCCTCTGTCCATGGGATCTCCCAGGCAAGAAATACCTGAGTGGATTGCCATTTCCTTCTGCAGGGGACGGATCCCTGCACACTGGCAGGTGGCTTCCTGACCACTGCGTCACCTGGGAAGCCCCTAACCTCGTCTAGTATTGACACTAACAGTCAGATGGGCTGAAGTGTGCAATGAGAAGGTAAACTACTGGAAGACAGAAAAGCAGGCCCTGGGTCCTGGAAACCCTGCCCTCCATCCACTCCACACCGTCCATGTGCAGACGCCGGCCCACAGAGCAAGATCTCAGAGAGGCCCTCACTCATTTCAGCCCTGGAGCTAAATTCCTAAGGAACCAAGACACAGCAAAACTAGCTGACAAGAGTGATATAGGATAGGAAACCATCAGAAAGAAAACAACAGAAATGGGATTAAACATCTAAGTGGAGGGAGAGGTCCATGGATGGTGAACTTAGGACACTCACTTTCATGCAGGTACTTTTCACACAGTTTTATCCTTTCGACTCTAAGAGATCAGATGGTTTTCACTCCCATTTTACAGATGAGTAAACGAAGCTGAAGCTCCAATACTCACACCTGATGCAAAGAGCCAACTTATTGGACAAGACCCTGATGCTGAGACAGACTGAGGGCAGGAGAAGAGAGCAGCAGAGGATGAGATGGTTGGATGGCATCACCGACTCAGTGAACATGAACTTGGGCAAACTCGGACAGACAGAGAGGGCCAGGAGGCCTGGCGAGCTGCAGTCCATGGGGTCACAGAGAGCTGGACCTGACTTAGTGACTGGACAACAACAACAAACAGAGGGTCAGGGCAAGGCCAAATGGCTGGTAAGAGGGGGTCTAGGGCTCACACCCAAGCAATCTCACTCCGGAGCCTAGGAAGGCATTCAAGGGAGGTTCGTGAGGAGAACACATCAGTCAGAAGTCACACCAAGCCCAACAGCAGCTTGAAAACCCAAACTCGCCTTTGGTTCCGACTGCAAAGCCTTCTAGGGAGCAGATCTCCCTCCTCAGCCTCCCATCAAATTCTTTCCCCAACATTCCCATCTTGCTTAAGAAAACCAGAGCCAGGGCTGTTGCTGACCACCCAGAACCTGTGTAGCTGACTGGCGGTCACAAAGCCTGTTCACAGACAGCAGCCCTGCCTCTTGGGCCACTTCCTTAGCTGTGCAAGAATACAGGTCCTGTCCCATTCACACACACACACACACACACACACACACACACACATATGTATATATATCCCATGTATATACATATATACCCATATATATACACTCACATATATACATATTATATACCCATATATATATATACACTCATGTATATACATATTATACACCTATATATATATACACTCATGTATATACATATATACACCCATACATATATATATACACGCACCCATATATACATACACACATATACCCATTCATATATATATACACAAACCTATATACATACACACCCATATATATACACATATGTACATATATACAAACACCCATCTATACACATACATATATACACACACCTATATGCACATACATATATACACATCATCTACACATACATATACATACCTATATATATACCCCATATATATATACATATATATATACACACCTATATATACATACACATATATACACATCTATATATGTATACATACATACACATACATCCATATATATACATACATACACACACACACACATATATATACAAACACATTATATATATACACACCCCATATAAATACACACACACACACACACACACACATATTGTGTGGACCTGCATGCTCAGTCATGTCTGACTCTCTGCAACCCCAGGACCACCAGGCTCCTCTGTCCATAGGATCTTCCGGGCAAGAACACTGGAGTGGGTTGCCATTTCCTCCTCCAGGGAATCTTCCCGACCCAGGGATCGAACATATGACTCCTTTGTCTCTTGCATTACAGGCAGATTCTTTACCACTGAGCCACTGGGGAAGTCTTATACATATATATATACACACCCATATATATATATACACACACCCATATATACTCATACATATATACACACTATATATATATACATATACACACACCCATATATACACATACATATGTACACACCATATATATATATATACACACACACCCATATATATATACATACATATATATATACACACCCATAATAAACATGTATATATACACCCATACATAAACATACATATATTTAAACACCATATATATATACATCCATATATATATATACACACATACATATATACACACCATATATATATACACACCCATATTTATATACATCCATAATATACATGCATATATACACACCTGTACATACATATACATATATTTAAACACCATATATATAAACACCTATATATACACATACATATATATAAATACCCATATATACATACATATGAAGACCTACAAGACCTTCTGGAACTAACAACCAAAAAATGATGTCCTTTTCACAGGGGACTAGAATGCAAAAGTAGGAGGTCAAGAGATACCTGAAGTAACAGGCAAATTTGGCCTTGGAGTACAGAATAAAGCAGGTAAAGGCTAACAGAGTTTGGCCAAGAGAATGCACTGGTCATACCAAACACCCTCTTCCAACAACACAGGAGAAGACTCTTAAACATGAACATCACCAAATGGTCAATACCAAAACCAGATTGCTTATATTCTTTGCAGCCACAGATAAAGAGAAGCTCTATACAGTCAGCAAACACAAGACCAGGAGCTGACTGTGGCTCAGATCATAAACTCCTCATTGCCAAATTCAGACTTAAATTGAAGAAAGTAGGGAAAACCACTAGACCATTCAGGTATGACCTAAATCAAATCCCTTACAATTATACAGTGGAAG